ACTTACGTTAGGGTATATGGGCACGTAAAGATGCTCCAGGGTAATCTGAGTGTCGTCGGATTCAGGGTAACTAATTCCGAACCTTTTAAATTTTCTTCAGATATTTATTTCCAATTTACCTTTGTTAAAGTTATTTTTCACTCCTGCATTCTTTTGTATTTTATCTGATAAGTAAAACATACTTCGGGTTTAACATTTATCCTACAGAACATGTCGATATATAATCTTCTTAACTGTTATTATTTAAATCCATCTGCATTGCTACAACCTTGAGGCAATATTTTTATACCAACGCCGGCGAGGTAGATGGATTTTATCTACCTCAATCTGTTTACGATAAATTCGTTCCCGATTGATGCATTGGTAAAGAAAGTATGCTATCCATTTTAGATACTACCATTGACTGACCTAAATGAAATCTCTCAACATATACTTGAAGTTATCTATGCAAGAATGTTGCACCTCAAAACGACTACCGCCTCAAATTCTATTTCTAGTTCCTTCAAGTCTGGTGGAAAGCCAATGGATAGCCAGCTAACAAACATGGGCGGCATGAACGTACTACAAAATCAAATAATAAATGTTGTTCGAGCCTACCCGGGGGAGCGTGGTATATCTGTCGCACAAATATGCGATAAATTGAGAGGCGTATCTGAGAGACAAATAAGGTAGATATGCTCATTTTATTAGTGTTTTATATTCATTAAGTGAATTAGCGCTAAATGCCATCTGCCAACAATTCATGCATTGCTTTAGGCCTGCAGCGAAGCGCAGCCCCTAGTTTTCTTCATTAAACAAACTAAAATTATTTTCACTACTATATTGTGTAATCATTACCTAATTTAATTTTTTTTCTCCTGAGATTTCTTCTGGTACCCTTAGTTCACTGGATTTTATATTTGTTTTTTTAGGGATGATTTGGATTTCTTGAGCGCTGAAGGACACGTTTATTCTACCGTGGATGATGATCACTTTAGAGCTACCGAATTATAAGATTAACTGACAATTTTTGTTGTATATATACTTGCTTCACGCTAAGATCACAGTCAGATTTTGTTAGTGAAGACATTTGTATAATAAAAAGATTCACTATCCTTCCACTTATCTGCGCGATGTCAACTTAATTTTTGATATGCTTTACTAGGAGCTAGCTGAATTTGTTTACATTTATTTGGGTGGATTCTATAATTCCAATAAATTTTACATAACAATGCTTAAAAAAATTATTATCATTAAAGTTCAACCGCAGTTTAGACCTCGCCTAAATCGTTTCAGCATCCATATCGGGACTCAAGTCATGAAAAAGCGGCATGCGGTCTTTTATCATTACCCATTACGCAAAAGTGTAGCTAGTTCCCCTACTTCACGAGGCGTTTTCTCATTACATTCTAGGTACGAAGATAAACTTGGTTTCGATGTATCTGCTGAGATAAAATTTTTGGAGAGATACGTATGAGGGTAGCCGAAAGCAAACATTTGACTAGGGTTAAAATGGATGAAAAATTTCTTCCTGGAAAATAATTATCCTTCGGACCTTATTGAGAATAATATCTCTTCTCAAAGGCATAAATTTTCAGACGGAGACCATTTAATCAACGATAGACATATTAAGATCTTTTGTCGTCATGCCTTCTCTCGAATAGGATAGGCGAATTAGTAAGAAAGTGGGTGATAAAAGCAGTATTCAAAGAAACTTTGATATTTTCTTTTATGCCATCTTTTAGAAAGAAATGTGACTCATCGAGATCCTGCTGCTACGAGATTGTTTGATCATGTGGTCGATGTTATGTTAGTGAGACATGCCGGCCCATTCGACAAAGATTAGGAGAAAAGAATGCTTGCAACGGGAGCTGGATCCAAAGGTCAGAAGTGGCCGAACATATGGTAGAAACTGGGCATGAAATAGAATGGTCTCAAACTATTAGGTTTACTGATTATGCTACGTCTGTAGTTAAAAGAAAGATGAGAGGCTATTGAAGTTAATAGCTTAAGAAATATGTGGAACGATGGTGGAAAGTTGAGTAGGCACAATTTACTCTTGATTGGTAGATTGAAAAAGAGTATTGAGCCACCATTTAAGTGAAGGCGATTAAACTTGTCTGCTTAGTTATGGTTCTAACTTCACACCCACTTATCCAACATCTTATATGGAATATATGAAGATCAAGAGATAGTCGTCTCTCTTATGGTCTCCTTTATATTTATAGAAGTAGGTTGACCTAGTTGTCACAACTTGGCCTTGTTGTCAGAGGGACTATGTTGAATACACATAGTCCGAAGTCGTCTGCCATATTAGTTGTCATGATTCCCAGCATTTGACAGTGTACTTGATACATTTACAAACGTATCGCCCTCATCATCAGTGAGCTTTCCTATTCTCCGCACCAACCTACGAACTCGTCAGAGACAAGTGAAGTCAATCCCTCGATAATCGTTCTGCCGAAAACGGTTACACTATCGTTCGTCTTTCTGTCATTGTCTATATATCTACTCTTCACACTTATCCTACTGCTGCCCTATCACAACTCACTTTTTTACATTCCACTCGTCAAAATGTGTTCTTTTTTGGCAAACCGAGTGTGGCCTCATCCCACTTGCTATTTACCCTGACCCCTCTCTTTCGATGGGCCTAACCCATTCAAGCCTCCAATCCGGATCCTTTCATTGTCTCGTAGACCCGTTACTTATCTTTCTGGTGATCGATTTCACTCGGGTCCATTCATAGTGTGCATTTCACTCTAAGCTCTATTTCTCAAGGCCTTCAAAGCGCATACACTGCCGCTTCACTGAGCAGAGCCCTTAAGCTCTAATTCCCACGCTTGCAGATATCAGGCCTTCCCTACACTGGTCGTCTCTTTAATTGGTCGCAGTCTCCTTTCGTTGTATATAGGTTCTATCACCTTGTTTTCACAACATGGTCATATTGGTAGCAAGACTTAGATGAACGCACCTAGTTCGGAGTCCATTGTCTTCATGATCGTTTCCAAAGTTGAACCGTGGATGTGGTACATTCCCAAACTTTTCGCCGGCATCGTCAGTATCGCCATTCTTAGCACCACAACAACTCGTCAGAGACAAGTGAAGCCGA